TATACACTTAAAACAATCAAATTTGGAGCAAAACAATGTCGTCTTGACTTCCAAAATTCTGGTGGAACCGTTGAGATCTCTTCTTCCTTCTTCCCCAGATGCTTCCTTCAACTGGCTGGTTATGACATTGGCTAAGACCATGGAATTGAAATGGGAATTGCAGAAATTGGTCAAGGCAAGATGTTAACTTGGAGGCAATTGATAAAACCCAGCAAATCAGATTTAATTATGTTCACATTATTTTCTCTGAAATTATTTGCAAACATTAATTAATGTCTTTGTTTGGATTTGTCAGCTTGAGGAATTGTGTATACTTTGATGCATTGTTTTGGTTTTGGCACCTTGATGAATTATTAAGGTTGGTTTGATAATTTTACCATTAACCTGATTTCCTCCTTCAATCCACTAGTAAAGATGGAGATATAATACGACTTAGAAAGGAGTGGAAGGGATAATATCACTTGGGATTTGAGATCATCAAAGAGCTCCTGGTAATCGGCTATAGATCCTCTTTGTCTGATTTTACTAAAGGTCTCTATAGCTTCTTCACATGTACCCTCTGCAAACCGCATACACACCTCTATAGAGAACAATTCCCAGTTAGGGTTGGGGTTGCTCGAGATGAATCCATGAAACCACATGCCTGCCTTCCCTTTCAAGTACATTTCTGCCACACTGACCCTCACTTCATCAAAAATTAGATGTATCTGAAAATATTTCCGAGCGTTCCTCAACCATTCCCTGGGCCCTTCCCCACTAAAATAAGGGAACTCAATCTTAGGCAATTTAACTCCTCTCATCTCACTCCCATTAGTGTTACTTCCAGAGGGTAATCCTATATACGGTGGCGTGAGTATTCCTTCACCATTATGAATTGGAATTGGTGAGCTCATTTTCCGTTTGTCTCTAGATTCCCCATTTTGCCCCATCATTTGGGCCATCATGGCTACTAATGATTCATGCTTAGAATTCAATTCCCCTATCATTACCTCCATACAGTCATGCTTGTTACACAAAGCCTCTATATGGTTCTCTGCCTTATCACTCATTCCTTGGAGTGTTTCACTCAGACCTTCAACTTCCTTGTCCAATTTTTTCAGGTGGTCCTCTACGACCTTAGCTCGAGTATCCATTCCCAAACCATGTAGCTACTCTGATACCAACTGTAATGGTTAAGCTGAATCTCAACCAGAGCTCACCGAATTAACATAAATTACTCGCAATTGAAGATAATCAGCTGGGACTTAACAACCCCAGCTGTAATTATATTAATTGAACTGAAGGAAATTACAATTAAGAAGAGAAAGAAAGAGAAACTGATCTGACATTCTACAAGTTCTTCTTCTCTCCTACAGTTTAAGTACTACAGCCAAAAATGTGTTCCCAAAATGATAAAAAGTATACACTTAAAACAATCAAATTTGGAGCAAAACAGTGTCGTCTTGACTTCCAAAATTCTTGTGGAACCGTTGAGATCTCTTCTTCCTTCTTCCCCAGATGCTTCCTTCAACTGGCTGGTTATGACATTGGCTAAGACCATGGAATTGAAATGGGAATTGTAGAAATTGGTCAAGGCAAGATGTTAACTTGGAGGCAATTGATAAAACCCAGCAAATCAGATTTAATTATGTTCACATTATTTTCTCTGAAATTATTTGCAAACATTAATTAATGTCTTTGTTTGGATTTGGCAGCTTGAGGAATTGTGTATACTTTGTTGCATTGTTTTGGTTTTGGCACCTTGATGAATTTTTTTCTCGTTTGGATTTTGAAGTTGATTGCCATCCGTTGAGGTTGCTAACTGTAGCGTTGACTACGGAGATGGTGGCGGTAGTGGTGGCGATGGATAGTATGGGTGGGTGGCGATGGCTAAGAGGGTGGTTTTTGGTTTTTTTAGGGAGGGGGGTTGTGGGTCAGTGGAAAAGATGAACAGTGTAATTCTTTTGTTCTTCGGTTATTTTAAATTGAAAATGTAAAGTTACATTTTTACCATTTAAAAATTAGTCAAAATTTTGTCAAATCATTGACTTTTTGTTAGCTAATATATGAAGTAAAGGTTTCCATCAATTTGGACTATGGATGGAATTTTTTGAAATGTTTGATACCATGGATAACAAAATTAAAGATTTGGATCAAGTTTGTAATAAAATGAAAAGTTTGGTTTCGTGACTGCAATTCTCACTTTGATTTATAGGTTCATTCCAAGTTGGTCACTCAATTTTAATTTACATCATTATTCAATTAATTTTTTTGTTCAATTGACAATTCCATCTATATAAGTTATGAAAATTGTTGGAAATTGTAACTTTGTTTTTGCTTCAATTTGATCGTTCACCTAAAATTCTATGTGTTCATTGGATCTATTTTTTGTAATCAATACAAAATTGACATAATTGATATTTGATAACATGACTAGTAAAATTTGTGACATCACATATGTTTCACCGTACAAATTCTACGTTTTTTGTTTTTAAAAACACGAGTATTTTGCACTCATAAATGGTGCACATGCGCGCGCACACGTATAAATTACATAATATGATGTGGAGAGAAAATATTAGATAAAAAAATTGATTACGTTTTAAAATAACAAATGGTAGGGTGTCGTGTGTCGTTATGTAATTTATTATGTAAATCTTGATATACATGTGTCGAGATCCTCAATTAAATTGCATCGATTAGTTGCGAACTAATTCTTGTCTATTCGGCCATCATCAAGTCCATAGAAGACCAATTTATAGGTGTAATAGGTTGTGACGCCTACAAAATTCTAAAAGCAAATTACCTCAAATCCAACGTTTCAAGTTTCAATACCACAACTTAGGTGTTCATTAATTTTTTCAAAAGTCAAGTGTATACGCCACGCTAACCCATCTCATCCCACCTCACTCTTTCCCACCACTTCAAAAAGTATAGGGATATACAACCCACCTCCAAAAATATCGCGATAGATTATGAGGACTTATTTTACGTGTCTATATGTAATCAACTTTCATCCAACTTCAAATCGAAAAATGATTTATAAAGAGAAATATTACTCTTCAACTTATTAATAATAATGAATAGTGGTTATAAGTAAATTTATAAAACGTTTTTCTTATCAATGCGTCCTGCTGCTAGCTTAATTCTTTTCTTATCCATGAATTAGCCTTACCTGTATCGAAAGGAGAGCCACAAATCACATTAGTACACTTTTCATGCCACTTTTACTGAGTGCATGCTTTGGGACCACATGTAGGATAAGATTTCAATTTTGTGAATGAAATTTTTGGAGCAGATAAACAATTTCAAGGGTTGAAATTCATTTAGGGCTAAATTGTCATGACTTTTAAAAAGTTAAAAATGAGCTTTTTTTTTTAATAATCGTGGGTGTGGGGATCAATTTGTGCGCATCTCGACTAATTTTACGAGTCCGTGAGTTTATAGTCTGATACTCATCTCAGTGACCACGAGGAAACTTGAACCGGTAAAAATGAGCATTTGAGATTTAAAAGTTGATTTTTGACCCATTTAATTAATTTTAAGAAAGTGTTTTTATTAGTTAAAAGAGTTTTTAGAGTAAATCAGACTAATGTAACTTTCTCTAAAAACTCTTCTGAAAAATGAAGTATTATTAAAAGTTAGTTTTCAAACAAAAATTAAAATAATTTTATTTAAAAACTCTAAAAACAAAAGTAAAATCAAAGCAAAAGTTATATCAAACGAATCTTTATTATAGTTGAATTTAAAAGTAACATGAATTATTATTCAATGAATTAATTATTTATTTTTGGTTCGGCGACATTGAATTTTTGAAAAATTATTACAACCATTCCCTAATGTTTGGTGTTATAAGCACTTGAAAATAGACGCGAAATTGTAGGGAAAGATAATCGATTTTCTCCCTTTATTTTATTTTTTTTCCTTTTCCTTTTCGTATTTATTTTCGTAGATTTGAACACGAAAAGAAAA